TCGGGTTCGAGCGTGTGGTATGCGGACGGATCCAAAACGGAGTCGGGTGTGGGCTCGGGCGTATACGGTGTCCGCCCGGACACGCGTGTATATGCAACCCTTGACCCGTATTGCACAGTGTTCCAGGCCGAAATACATGCAATAGAGATCTGTCTGAGAATCAATTTGGAAAGGGGGTATAGAAACCGCACCATCTATGTGTTCTCAGACAGCAGGGCTGCACTGCTGGCGCTCCGTTCAGCTCAGGTTACATCCAAGCTGGTCTGGAGCTGCCTTGCTGCACTTGTGGAATTGGCATCGGAAAACAGAGTGATGCTCATTTGGGTGCCGGGCCATAGTGGCCATGCGGGCAACGAAGTTGCCGATGAGTTGGCGCGGAGGGGATCTGGGGCTGCCTTTGTGCAGCCGCTGCCTTTCTGTGGTCTGCCTTCTTCCGCCGTGGGGGCCAGGCTTGCCTGCCTACTCGCGGCGGAATGCAGTCGTCACTGGCGGGACACGAAAGGGTGCCGTCATGCGAAGGTGTTTGTTCCGGCGTGCTCCGGCGGATTCGCTGCGGAGTTGCTGGGGATGAGCAGGAGCCGGGTTCGCACTATTGCGAATTTCTTCACGGGGCACTGCCCGGTGAAATACCACCTGCACAGGCTGGGGAAGTCGGGCTCCCCCCTGTGCAGATTTTGTGGGGGTGGCGATGAGACCGCCGTGCACATTCTCTGCGACTGTCCGGCACTGGCTGTTCGGCGCCGCAATTGTCTTGGACATGGGTCCCTAAGTGTTCGGGAACTATTGTCCAACTCCCTTAGGGATATCTCCGGCTTTGTGATTGGGACGGGGATATTATAGACGGGAGAGTGGGGTGGCTACAATAAGTCAAAAATGGCTGCGGTGGCTTGGGGGATGCTCCTGTCCCCACTCAGTTCCCTTAGAATCTACAATCTACAATCTACAATCTGGTCTCAGGTAAGTGCCTAGACAGAATTAGTCTTACTTACAAGAAGGAGGAAGGTGCCCGATTTCTGTTGCATAGGATGGCGGTGGTCGAACTGCGCCTCTTGAATTGTGGGCGCTACTTGGGCTTGATTGTGAACGATAAGCTGCTGTGAAAGGAAAATATAAAGGAAAGAGCAGCAGGTGTTTTGGTGGGTCAGTACAGGAACGCACTTAAAGCGATGTGTGCAGGGGGGCTGTGTCCTGGGTTTCCTGTCACAGCGGGGCGCAGTGAAATGAAATGGCAGACTATCTTGCAAGGACTAGAGCGTACGGAGGCTTCAACTTAGTATATGGGTTGGTGCGTCTGCCGAGTTATCACCTGAATAAGTTTTAAATTCATATTTGTATAGTATTGAAGTAGTAGACTTAATAGTAGAATGATTTTACAAATTACTTTTCTGGTCTAAGAAATTGAGATAAGAATGTTTTTTTGTACATTTTTTTGTTTATAAACACTTAGAGGAATTTAAAATAGTCAATTGTTTTAGACATTTCTGATTGACGCATTTCTAAGAAATTAAACTGTCTATTTAAACTGTGCGTCTGTTGAAATAAAACCAAAAACTATAAATATTTTTACAGTCGAGCATGCATATATGTAAATACTATATTTAAAAGCCAAACTAAGAGCAAATAAAAATTTAGGCAAACTTTATTATTGAAATAAAATTTCTATATGATTTTACGCACATAAATGAAACGCAGATAAATACAAAACTCGGTAAAAAGCAACCATTCATTTATACAGTCATTTTTGAGAAGATAAAAATTTAGATTCAAGTAACAATTTTGACCATATTTAAAACTCATTTTGCGCACTTATAAGTTGTCAGAAGTCAAATCATTAGTTAGTTTTGCAGATTTAGCGTTATTTGATACAACTTCATAAACTATGCATTTATATGTGATTAAAATGCATGCAAATTAATAGCAAAGTTAAAGTAGTGCACCCGTAATGCAGATAATACCGGTGTTCGACTATAAAATATTGTATTTAAAATTGAATTTTATGAAAATGATCGTATATAAAGTAAGAAAATGTCAATCATTCAAATTTTGAAATTAAAAAAAAAAATAATTTTGTATACGTCACTATGTCACACCACACATGCGTTACAGTGATATAAAAGAATGTAAAGTTGCATATAAGTATATACGTTATTTTGTGTATAAATTTTTTTGCTCCATGAATTGTGGACATATTATTGAATTGTAAAGTTTATAAAAAAAAAAGTAATTAGTAATAATTTGTCTTTATTGTATAAGATAGCTCAATATACTTTATCACTTTTCCAAAATTAATGACGATCTTCATGAATATGTACAAATCACATTGTATCGCAAGAAATGAGGACATGCTCACATAAAAACGATTTTATTATTGCCGCATGGAAAAAAATTTGGAACTCTAATTGATTTTCGATATTACGTGATTGTACTGCAATTCAAGAATTGCAGTACAAGAAGAAAGAGGACAGCACAATTTTTAATCAAAATTCTATTCTTTCAACAAAATATGCATATCAACTCATTTGGAGTCATTTCTCTCTCAAGTATTGATCGAAACTATTAAAATATATTTTAAAAATTATTAAATTTTTTTTCTATTTAAAAGGAGAACACGAACGGATGAACAGGCAGACAAATTACTGGACGAAAGAATGTAGAGAGTGAAACTAATAAGCACTTTTCCTCTTTTAATTTTGTTAACATGACATGTAGCATCACATCTGAAAATTAATTAATATCAATTTAAAACTGAAGATTTCCTTAAATATTTTTTTTAATTATAAAAAGTATTTTTAAAATTTTTTATAATTCCATTTAACTTAAATCTGTGTACCTTACGGGTATCTATATAAAAATTCTTTAAATAAATAAAAATATTAAATCAAATTTACATTTTCCGTTTTTTTTTTTTCTATTCAAAAAGAGACACCGTAATTGTATCTTATAATATGAAAATAAACCGAAAATTTACTGTTACTTTTACATTTCTAAACATCTATATATTAAAGCATATATGTACAAACCCCTGAGTTTGGGTATTAAATCTAAAGGATTTGATTTCACGGCTGTTCACCTATTATACTTTTTTATTGTAGTTAAAAAATACTCATATAATTTTTCTCTTCTTTGCTATGCTCTAAATTTTCTGTTATTATTCTCTCTGTGTACTCTAGTGCTATTGTTATGTCGGTACTGTTCTTCTTTCTATTGAAAATCAATACAATTTTTTTTTTTTTGTAATAAAATTCAATACGTTTTATGAATTAAATCGGTTTTCACATACCCGAAATTCATTCAATATTTAAATCTGAAAATCTTTGTAAATATACAATAAATATAGATGTATATAGATATGTACAAGAATAAGTCAATATCCATGAATCATCAATATCAAATAAGTATATTATAAGTAGATACGTGTATATCTACATTTTAAAGAAGATAATAAAAGTATGTATTTTGAAAATTGAATTTTTTGATAACCTTGTTACACAAAAAATAAATGTAAATATATAGAGGGAAAAAAAATTCTAATATAGAAAAAGAGCATAATATTTTATACAATTTTATTATATAGAACATTCTGTGAAATGCTAACAAACTATGTATGTCTGTACCTATACCTACACTCTATAAAATCCTATTATATTTAAATAGGATCTTTTTAGTAATGATGTCTGATACAAGTAATGGGCTACTTTTTTGTTTTGTGATACCGTAGATTTGTAACATAAATTATTTCAAATAGGTATACCTACATATTAAACCAAAATAAGAAAAAATGAAAATTTACCACAATGAATCTTGTCTACAATTTTCAATAATAACATTTTAATAATTGAATTTTATACTATACTATACTTTATTTGCACGAGTTTGCAAATCTAATAAGAATATAAACTTGATCCGATGTAGAGAAAAATTCTGATTTTTCTTTACGTATTTAGAAATTTTTGAATTCAAATCGGAAAATAATTACAGTTTATTATCTAATTATACGTTTTGAAAGTTGAAATATTAAATGGTAATTACATTTATGACTTTGAATCACCACAATAAATTTAGGAGAAAAACGTTATTTATAAAAATTTCTTTAAAATTTCTTTAAAAAAAAATATTGCTTTTACTTGTAACATGCACCTTTAATCCGGTTCGGGAGCCAGTACCGCCTACCACCGGATCTCATGCAGTTGTTCGCAAAGGAGCCAGTACCGCCTACCACCATGGATTGTAAGGCAATGCACGTATAGGAATTTTAAATCGAGGAAAAATTCCAGTAGTCATCTATAACACTTCGTTCCAGTTATTTAAAGCATAAACCATGCATAACTCACTATTCAAATATGATTTTTTCTAAAATTACTGAAGAACAGCTATCTTAAGGAAAATTTTTAAATATACCCGAACAAATTTCGTTTTCCCCCCTCTTGATAAGTCAATAAAAGAATAAAGTTCTCAAGTTCTTTTTCCTTTGAGAAGGCTGTAAGTATTATTCTTTCCAAAAATTGTTACTAGTATAACAGAAATAACTAAATTTAAGTTGTTTGTAAACTTTTTATTTTTATTTTGAGGCATAAAATTAATTTTGCGCCACCATGTACTTTGCAATAATTTTATATTCATTCTATTGGAGTGTATGCGTTAAACGTACGTACGTTATTTACTGATTTAAAATTAAAAAGAAAAGGAAAACAAAACAAATTACTCAATTATACAGTTACAATTTATAAATATTTAGAATAGCTGTATATTGAACTACATAGTAATATTTATTATACTCTTATTCACGCGTTCTATACCAAAATTTGAATATTAACGTGTGTTTTTATCAAAAAATTCTAAGGAATCATATAAAGGAAAAATTCTTATACGAGTATGCATAACACTTAGATATTTTAAGATTGAAAATTATTTTATAGTACAGCCCACTATAATAAGACTCACTCAATTTATTTTATTCAGGAAAAGTATATAATATTATATTATTTAAAATACAAACTTACCTCATAGAAATAAAATGAATTTATTCCAGAATCTGTTCCATTATTATCTGCTGTAAATATGTTACCAGTATTTGGCATACCAATACTATTACTACTACTGCTACCAGCACCATTTGCTATAGAACCCATTGCAACATAAGTTGAATCTGTTACAATCGGATGATTTATTAATGATGTAATTGTTGGTGCCAATAACACTTGTGACATTGATGGTGTATAACTAATATCTAATTCAATTGATGATAATGGTTCTATTGTTGAATCCAAAAACGATGATGATGTTGATGATGTTGCTGATGTTGCTGATGTCGATGATAATAATGATGTTAATGATGTTGAAATTATTGATGTTATATTATTATTTATATTAATATTACTATGATTATAATTATCACTAAAATTTAATAATTTATAATTATTATTATAATTTTCAATATTAGATATTGAATTAAATGATATATTATTATAAAAATTATCAATTGAATTTATAGTTGAACTATTTGATATATCACTATTACTGTTATTAATACCACCACTTGTATTAACATTATTACTGCTACTGCTACTATTATTACTAAAATCATTTAAAGAATCATTTATCACTAGACTATTGATAATATTATCATCATTTAATATATCTAAAATACTATTTGTTACAGAGAAATTTGATGCTGTTGTTGTACTTGTTGATGTTATAACTATTGGTGATGATGATAATGATGATGAAATTTTTTCACTATTATATTTCGTTGTCGTTAAAATTAAACCTGAAGAATCCATACTATCATCACTATTATCAAAATATCCTTCCAAAATATTATTTTTACTTGAATGTTTTCTATAAAAATTTACATTATTTTCAAGTGTTGTAACAGTAGTAGGAGTTATATTTTCAGGTAGAATTGATGTTGTCGTTGTTGCTGGATTAATTGATGTAGTAGTAGTAGTACTAATGGTAGTATCACCAATATCATTTTTAATATTATTAAATTGAATAAAATTTTTAATTTTATTTTTCAGTCCTTTACTTAAATTTTCGGGTGTTGCTATTGTTGTTTCTCTTACAGATACCATTTTTGATGATGTTACTACATCTATATTTTCATTATCATTAATTGCCTCTTTTCGTATATCATTTGCAAATATGGATGGCATTATTGATTTATTTGATTGAAATCGTTGTATATTTATATTATTATTGTTATTGTAAATATCATCATCATGGTCATCATGACCATTATAATCATTGCTACTATAATTTCTATCAATTTCATAACTATCGCCGCCATCACCACTCTTGGCATTTGAATTATTTTCCTTATAACTAGAGTAATTATTTTTATAATTGTTATACATTTTAACTAAATTTAGATCTTTGGTTTGATTTTTTGTATTTAAAAGAAAATTTAGGTTTTTCGTTGCATTTACAATATCAAATGAATTGTTGTTGATATTGGGGATCATAGAAATTTTTTGATTTTCCGATTCAATAATTAAAAATTTTTCAAATTCTTTATGACGATCAGATATAATTTCTTTAAAATATAATTGCATAATTTTATAAAACTTTCTCGAAATAGAAGTTATACAATAAAATTCTAAATTCCAAATATTGATTTTTATTCGATTTTTAGAAAAATTTAGAATTTTAATTTCAAATTTTAAATTTCTCAATTGAATAAATTCCAAGTAATATTTTTCAATTTCCTCAAGGATAACATATTTCCAATTTTCAATGAACTTATTTATTTTTTCAATTCCAAAATTGCTGTCCTTGATGATTTTTTCAGATGCAATTTTAATTATTAAAATTTTTTGCTCTGTTTTAATAATAATACAATTATCTTCATTAATTTTCAGTAATTCTTCAATAAATTCAACAGCAATATAAAATACAATTTTAAATTTAATTTCCAATTTGTGAATTTTATGTAATTGCTTACAATTTTGAAGCATTATACCATAATTAAAGCAATTTTAATAAATTTGTATTTTAACATTTTAAAATTATAAATGAATACCAAAATTATATATGAGATTTTTCATGAAAATTTTCAATTTGTTTATTCTAAAGAATAATTTAGAGTAATCTCAAACTTTTCAATATTTTTTACAATTTCTCCTCAAATATTTTCTTATTGTAAAATTTTTTATAGCAATACTTATTAAATAAAAATTTTTGATAATAGAATCTTTACATTAAAAATTAAATTTTCAAAAAAACAGAATTTTATTCAATAAACGGATGTAAAGCGTTCTTTATTATTTTTAATGTTGATCAAACACCTAAGGAAATTCTGGAATATTATCTGAAAATAAAAAAAATAAAAATTTACATTAATAAAATTTTTAAAATAAACTGCATAGAATATGGTTATTTTTAACAAAATATCTGAAAAAATTTATGGGAATTTATTTATTCCCAAAAATTAAAGACTAATAAGTTTGAGGATATTAATTCAATTGAAGACTTTTTGCAAAATATGCAGAGCGGAACAAATTAACATAAGAAAACACAGAGATTAACACAGAGAACAAGATCGAATGGCAGAGTGAAAGAATTAAACACATTAAATTTAGTAACACATTCGTGAATTCCTTTGTTAAGAACTGAATTCTTATATCGTACAATTCGGTGTAATCTTGCCAGCAGCATAAGGTTTTCAGATCTCTATTTAATATATTTTTAATATCAATAGCTCTATGGTAGAGCATTTGAAATACCTCTTATTCCCATGTTGCTTAACAGATCACAAGGTCTCCGATGATTAACTATATCAGAAGCCTTTGTTACATCAATAAATACGGCCTCCGATCTAATACGCTTTATCCAATATATAGCTCATTTGTTTTAACGTAGCTGCAATAGTCAGTTCTGTACCACTATTTTCAAAAAAACCATATTGATTCTTATCAAAACCTATTGTTTGTTTTATGAAATTTCTATTTCTTACGCTCAATGACTTTTCATATATTTTTGACATTGTGTTGAAAATTGAGATGCGGATAAGGTTAAATAATACAAATTTCCAATCATTTTTAATAACAAAAAATGTGCTTGCAATTGAAATTCAATAATGAATGTACAAACCAATATTAACAATAAAATTGATAGATGTCGCTTTGAACCGTCGCTGGAATTCCTCCTTCCGTAATTCAACTTTATATAAAACCTACAAGATTAACGAATAATTTGATTAATATTTAAAAAAAAATTACATTGGAAGAAAATTGCTTGCTACAATACATTAAATTTAAACTATTTTACAAAAAATTCCAAATGAACTCACTTTTATATTTCTTGATTTTAAAAGAAGATATCAGTCTCTAGAATCAAACATTATTTTGTATAAAACCAAAAAAAAAATTTTTTGAAAAAAAAAAACCTGTATGGAGTAAAAAACATTCAAGCCAAATCCAATATTTTCAAGAATGCAATTAAATTCTCATTACATTAAAATTTTTTTTTGTCTTCATCTTTTTCTTAATTAAATATTACAAAGCTGTGCTGCTGTACAACTAATGCACAACATGTACACATAGAGTTTCAAAAATTTTCCTTGTTCGCGTTGTTCTTCAGAACAAAAATAAAGGGAAAATAACCCATAACAATAATGGAAAAAATAATTTTCATGAAATTTTTAATGTTTTACGCTAAATTGAAAGAAATTTCTGTACATAGAATGATGTCAGATGATTTCTTTTTGCATATTTTAGTTGTTTTGAGTTCTGCGGTTTGAAAATAATGCTCTAAAGCAAAAGAATTGAATTAAATTGTTTTGAATGATTTTGAATGAGTAAAATAACATCTTTTAATTATTTCGTATGCAACCGAATTTTAAAATTTAATTTTTAATTTTATATAAAAATTCAATTATAATATTGCAAATATTTTTGAATTTTCTACAGATTTACACAAATTATATTTTGGAATTTAGTTTGTAATTAAAATTATTAATTTCTAATAAATAAATTTTTTAATATTATTTTCTTTTTGCATTATTCAGAAATGTCATATGGCACTGTCATTGAATATTGTTTGCAATAGTATTTTTATAATAAATTACATTATACGAGATCATTGTTTACTTAAAACATGCTCGACAATAAAATTAGTTAAAATAACACTACTACAGATGAGATTGTCTCCGCGGACATTCATTTTTCAAACGTTATTACAAAACTTGCACAAATAAAACACTTGAAAGGAATGATTATTAAACAGTCTTGTTATGCTTGGCAAAAATTATCTACTTTATGATGTCATCGAAAATTCGTTTTCACAAATGAAATGAACTTTTTTTTTCTGCATCTACAAAACATAAACTTTACAACTTGGATCATAATAATATTTTAAAACATTTTTGGTTTGAAACTTGGATTTTATTTACAAAATGGATGACACGTCTAATTCCTTGAGTGACAATTCTTGTTGACAATATTGCATGCATTGAAATTTTCAATTTCTCATTTAAATAAATAATATTAATAATTATAACAAAATATTTAAATTTTTCTCAACTTACATTCTATAGCAATTATTCTCCCATTTATAGTTTTCAATCAATTAATTATTAATCAATTTAATTTTCAGTCAGCTACCATAGACATGCATAACTTAATTAAGTTATACTTTTCCTGTTTTTAAAATAAATAATTTTCTTAAAAAAATAACAAAATATAAACAAAATCTCAAACTGAGCTGAAAATAATAACATTTATAAACTAATATTTTGAAGTTTATAAACAAAATAAATTGATTTGAAAAAAAAAATATTTAATGTTTATTTTAAAAACTCATTATTTTTTTTTTCCAAATTTTTGTTTTACAAAAAACCGCTTCTCTCTCTTTAAATGAAAATTTTTTAATTAAAGCAAAGCGTTTTTTTTTTGTTTTTGGTTTTTTACTAAATTAATTGTTTGTGTGTACATATGTGTGTACATAAAATTTGTGTATGAAATAAAGAATTGATTTAAGCGAACACACACAATTTATACATGTGTACACAACATGTGAGATCAATTAAACGAAACATGAAATATTAAAATTGCCAAAATAATATTTCAGAAATCTTAATTAAAATGTTAATTTTTTTTTGTTATGGTTTTTCCGATTATTTAAACGGAAAATTTTATTTGACTAACATTTGATGACTTATCACCATCAGTCATTT